AATGGGAGCTTCTCTCTCCATAGGCCCGACTACCGTGCTAAGCAGCTCACAGAAGTTGCAAGCAAGCGGGAAGTTCTTACTCAGGTGTTCAGCGGAGTTTGCTAGATAATGAGAACCAGGAAATTTATTATACAGTATATCTGCAAAAAAATAAAGATAAAAAATAAAAATTCGAAGAGTCTTGTGCAACCACAAAAACTAGCCCGTTTATTATGGTATTTTTAGTGGACTCTAGTTCTGTGTAGTCCAGGAAAGCTTATACCACTTTTTTGCTGGGAGAGATTCCCGGGGCTACCGCACTGGAAATTAAACACCCGCATTTCTAGCTATCCTTTCTCACACACCTTTCGAAAACAGGTGATGATGATCGGGGATAGCTTGTGTTCCACACACTGAACTGGTGACGTTTTATTTCTGTTTGGATTATCTAGTCTGGAACCGGGCATTAAAAACCAGCAGAAATCGGCGCAAACAAGCTGGCTGCTTGCAAAAGCGCTGGAGGCAGCGGATTGCCAGCCGCGGAGATGCGAATGCGTTTAGGATTGCGCTGCCTCCGTGTTTTGTGGCACAGGGGCGTGGGAAGCGAAGGCTTTCGCGGCTTCCACTCGCCCGATTTCCAAACTGCCGTTTAAAGGACTTCAGTGCGAGCGCAAACATTCGGGTTCGGTCTAAGTCTCCTCCTTGCTGTCGCTTGGCCCGGATCTTAACCCGCCCGCCCCCACAGACACGCGTCCCCTCCCTCGTCTTCCAGGCACCTGCTCAGTCCTGCTCTCCGTCCTGGCTGGGGGAGGGCCTTGTCCTCGGCCTTGGACTCCTTGGACCTTCCCCTGGCCAAGAGGACGCTGCTTGCCTCCCCAATTCTTCGCATTGATCCCCAAGTGGAGTTGCTTCCCTTCTCTTGTCTAAGGAGAGGCAGGGGTCAGAAAACCTTTTCAGCAGGGGGCCGGTCCACTGTCCCTCAGACTTTGTGGGGGGCCGGACTATATCTTGGGAAAAAATATATATGAACGAATTCCTCTGCCCCACAAATAACCCAGAGATGCATTTTAAACAGAAGGGCACATTCTGCTCGTGTAAAAACATGCTGATTCCCGGACCGTCCCCGGGCCGGATTGAGAAGGCGATTGGGCCGGATCCAGCCCCCGGACCTTAGCTTGCCTACCCATGGGAAAGAGGGTGCGCGTGAAAACGTCGCAGCTGACTCCGGCTTCAGGTCTGTGCAGGACCAGAGCTTTGTGGAGCCGGGAAGCTTGCCTCCTTCCCAGTGCCCGGCTTGGGAGGGTTCGCCAGATGCAGTGGGTCTGTCGGTGGCCCAGTTTACACTTTATGCAGCTGAAAACGCCATTTCGTTTTTTAAATGGTTTTTAATGTTTGGTGCCTGCAAGAGTGAAAGGAAAGGAAAACCGCCTCCCCCACTCCCACCCAGGCTTTCTCGGCCACGAAGGGCCCCTTGAGACTCCCACTGAGCTTTCCAGAGCGACCTGCCGCCTTTCCTCCCAGAGATCCCGGCGGGGTCCCTGGGGCACCAAAGGGGCGCTTCCAAGGATGCGGTGCTGTCCGCGGCTCGCCAATCCCAGCCGAAATAATTAAACCAATTAAGTCAATACAAACAGAATCAAGAGGGAAGAGTCCGGCTCTGATCCTTGGGGGGCCGCGGGGGTGGGAACGAAGAGAGAGACAGGCCTGGCTCTTCTGCGGAGATCAGGAGTCCGAGCGCAGCCTGGTGCGCATCCCCAGCCAGGAAGCCCCGGAGATGCGCAGCGGGGAGGCCTGATCCCGGGAGCTGGGAGAAGAGAGCCGGAGCCGGGGCGGGGTTGGCGCGGAGGGAAGCCCTCTTGCCCTCGGTCCCTTCGAGGAGACCCCAGCTGGCCCTCCAGTTGAAGGGCAGCAGAGTCGGACTCCCCTCCAAAGCCTTCATCCCGGCGCCGGCGGCGAGAGAGAAAGAGGCTGCTGGCTGGTTTTGCCCTCTCTTTCTGGGAAGACCAAACTTTCCTTTACTTTCTCTCAGGGTCGGGGAAATGGGGTCCTTGCTCGCCCTCCGCCTTCCCTTGTCCAGAGTCACCTTTGCCCAGCGCCATCCAGTTTCTCTTCCGGGCCGCAGTTCTCGGTGCATCCTAAAAACCTGAATAAGATTTATTGATTGATTGATTGATTGATTGATTGATTTTCCCAAAAGGGAGATTTCGTTCCTTTTCCCTTTCCCGAAATAGAACATTCTGAATCCCGCTCTTCGTGGTTTAAAAACGAATTCGTTCTCCTGCCGCAGAGCTGCGTTAAATGGCACAACAATTAGCTGTAGAGTAAAAAGACGGTTCTTGGTTGCTGGCTTGCTTGTTATTTCTAAAGGGAGAAAGAAGACCCGAACCCGAGTATTTCTAATCAAATGTTAAAAGAAGCGGCTCTCGAGTTGGGTTTGCCGGCTGAGAGCGGGGCGGTCCCGGCGCTTTTCCAGCTTGGCCCTCGGGGCTCTTGCTGGGACGGGGCCGCGAGGGCTTTGTAATGATTTGATGTGCAGATGTAAGTGAAATTTATTGTAACAACAAATATAGGGATGTCAAAGCCCAGCTCTGGATTAAAGCAGGCAGCCCAAGGTGGGGGGGAGTGTATTAATTTCAAACAGCATCAGAGGCCAGTGTCTATTAGCGCGAGCTATTCTTCAGGCCCCCCCATCAGAATTAATCATTGAGAGTTAATTTGAAGCGCAGACAAGTTGCTGTTAATTTAGTGCGGGGAGGATGGGATGGAATAAAAAGCTGAGGTGCCGGCCAAGCCTCTTGGGTCTCATTAATCAGCGAGCTGAGACGGCCTGGCTTGATTACAATTTGCAAAAAAATTCATTAGAGCCTGGGCGATTGACAATTTTTCTCTCTGCCTGTGATCTGACTCATTAGGCAGCCAAATGAAAGCCAGGATGGTGATGATGACAGCTATCAACCCCCCTCGCTTGTTTATCTTCTTGGCTTCTGCCTCTGCCTTGGTGGCTCCCACTCCGGGGCTTTTCCTGACCCTGCCTGGAACACGACCCCCCCCCTCTGCCCGGTCGCTTCAGATTATTGTCTGGGGGGGGGGCGAGAAGTCGGCGGTCCTCTGCCGCCTGCTCGGGCTCCTGCGCCTTCCTCTTGCTCGCTCGCCCCCCCCCTGGTCTTCCCATTTCCTCGCCGTTGTGTTGGAGGGGGCGGGGGCCGAGCAGCTCTTTCGCAGCGGGGCAAACGGGTCTTTGGGTGGCGGCTGCTTCAGCGGCAAAGAACCGCAAAAAGAAGCGAAAAGATCCGACCATTTGCCCCGTCTGTGCGCCGGAATGTAGCTTTTCCTTTCCTTTCCCCACAAAACGCAGGTGCTTGGGCTAGAATGTGAAAGTTGACCCCTGCCCAAAGACCCCTATGCGGCTTTAAAGCTTTGACAGCCCCTTCCTCCAACTTAAAAGTTATTCTTGGTGTGTGTAGCCTGTATATGCATATATGTGTGTACATGATCACTCTGGTTATCCAGAAAGAGGCAGCATCCATACACAGTGGCCTGCTTCTGGGTAACCAGAGTTCGCATCCATGGAGAGCTGGGCTTGTGCGGATACGGCGCACGTGTCGACTCGGCCGCCTGGGATCCTGGCTCTCTTTCGCTCCAGGGCTGCACCTCGGCGCCCGCCATCAAAGCCGCTCCACACGCCGGCGAGGAAAGACTAGCGCCGACTTCAGCTCGCCTCTCTGCCTCGGCAGAAGCAAATTATTTCACTCTGAAGGCGAATTCCTGTGCAGCTCAGCCGCGGACGCTCGCCTGGGAAGCCGGGAGCCCCGACCTCTCGGACATGGCACGTCAGAAACCCAGAACACAACCGCGTCGTTTTTTAAAAAAAATGTTAATGCAAAACATGCAGATCTGGCTACTTAGTTGGAAACTTGAAGATGGTGATGAAATTCCCACGCCAAGAGCATCTTACAGGAGCAGAACTCGCGACCAGGCGCCTTTGCAGAGCTGCATTTCCAGGCGGTGCAAACGAAATTCCACGCCTTACAAAACGATGTAGTGAAAGTGATAGATTTCTGTCCCTGTGCGACCGGCCTCCTTCGAGCTCAGGCCGGACCCTGCGCTGCTCTCTCCGTCCCGGGAAGGAAGGGGCGCTTGGCATCTCGGCCTCCTTTGCCCGCTCTCCCCGTTCAGCTTTCCTTTTCACGCGTCTTGACTGGCGCCGGGTGGACCAGGGGCCTCAGTCGCGTTTCCGAGGCGCTTTCCCGCAGGCGAGTCGGGGCAATTCTCCCGGCTTCTCCCCGCACCCGAACCGCCTTCTCCACACCCGCCTTTCCCGCTCCTCGCTGCCCTCCCGCCGCAGATCCTGAGCTGGGGCGAATCCCTCTGCAGCCTCTTCAGAACACGGAGGCGCCTCTTTCTCCGCGCATCTGCTGAGGCAGAAAGCAGCGCACCGTCCTTCGTGCGAACAGAAGGAGCGGGCCAAGTGGGAGCGGGGCGCCCACCTCCCTTTCTTCCCGGCAAGCCGCCCTCGCCGCGCCCCCGCCTCAGCCCATTCCCTTGGATTTGGGTCTGCAGAGCCCTTTCCCATCCCCTCGCAGCCCGGAATGAAAGCGGAGCTGTCCGCGGGCGGCTGCGCGGAGCTGGGGTAGGCGCGCCTGCAGTTCTTACTTGGAGGGGCGGGAAGGGCTCCCTCACCCGACAACTGAAAGGGGCGGGTGCCCCCCTTCCATGGAAGCCGGAATATCACGTCCTCCTGCCCACGGCACCCAGGGCTCTTCCAGCCCATCCCCTGCAGTGGGAACGAATCCCTCCCCCGGTTCTTCCGACGACCCTGGGGTGAGGCGGGTTATTAATCCCCCCCCGCATGTGCTTTTGGCTGCCCTGAGGAGGAGACCCCCCGCTGGCGTCTGATCCGGCGGCACCTCCAGCTTTTTGGGGGCGCCCTCTCCTCCCCGCTAGGAGGAAAGCGCCTTGCTGGCCCTCGCGCGCCAAGAAGCCTCGCCAGACGCGCCGAAGGAAGGACAGCTGGGTCACTCTGAGCATTTCCCCCTTTTTCTTCCTTTTCTTTTTCAGGTTTTTATTTATAACATTACTGTGTTTCATTTCGTTTTCATAACTTAAGAAAAAAGCGTAAACTACATTTGAAATAAATTAATGCAACACAAGAGAACAACAACCAAAAATAAAAAGGTCGTGCATTTGAAAGAGGAAAGGAACATGGCTTAGGCAAGGCAACCAAGTCGAGAGAAGGCCAAAACTTTAAATAAAATGGGGGAATCTATAGGGAGGGAGGGATCCACCTGAAGAATGCCTCATTCGCTCAGCCTTCCGCCGCAACCAAAAAGAAAAAAAGAAGGGGAGGGATGGAGGGAGAAAAGAAGCAGCAGCAGCAGCAGCAGCAGCAAAAATTAAACCGGTCCTTTTCGTCTTATTTTCTCTCCCGAAAGAAACGGGGCGGGGGAACATCTCCCTTCCCCGCCCAAAAGTCCGCAGTTCTGGAATGTAAGACTTGACGCCGCCGCTCCTTTGGTCCTCTCTCAGTCAAAATCCCGCAGCCGAGATCCAGCGCTCTATGTACAAAGTTCGGGCAGTCTAATAAATAGGTAAATCGTCTTTTCCTGGCTTCCGAGACTCCCGCTCCGGAACCCGACCGCGCCAAGGCAGTCTGCGCCTCGCGGGAAAGTTCGCCTTCAGTTTGGCAGCGGAGGGACGGAGAGGAAGAGAGCCAGAGGGAGGGCTCTCCCCGGAGCCCGGACCGGAGTTGCAGGGGAGGCGCGCGTCTGTTGGCTTGCGTGTTTGTATTCCTCCAAACTTGAGCGGGGAGGGGGCCGAGGAAGCAGGTGGCCTTTCCCCCCCTCCCTCTCTCCGTCTCTCTCTTTCCCCTCCGCCCTCGCTCAGGGCCTGGCCTGCTCCAGCTGCTGGTGTTGACTCCTGATGGCGAACCTGCTGACGTGGACGGGGATGGGCACGACGATCTTGGGGTTCCGCGAGGGCTCCCCGGTCTTGGAGTTGGCGTTGCCGGCTTTCACCCGTTTCCACTTGGCGCGCCGGTTCTGGAACCAGATCTTGACCTGCACCTCGCTGAGCTTGAGCGCGTGCGCGATCTGCGAGCGCTCCGTCAGCGACAGGTACTTCTTGCAGTGAAACTCCTTCTCCAGCTCCAGCAGCTGCTCGCTGGTGAAGGCCGTCCGCCGCCGCCGGTTCTTGCCCGTCGACGTGGTGCTGTTGGCGCTGGCCGAGCTGGGGCCGCCCTCCTCCAGCCCGTGGCCCGAGTCGTCCTCCTTGTGCGCCGCGGGGCCGGGCAGGTTGTCGTCGGAGCTGTAGTCGAGGTCGCTGTCCATGGAGAAGCTCTCTTCCTTGCCCTTGGCCTCCTCCTCCGCCGCCTTGGCCTCCTCCTTCCCCGACGCGCCTCGGACGGTTCCTGCGGGGAAGCCAGAAAGAGCACCGCGCGTTACTCTTTGCGCCTCTCCCTTTCCCCGCCCGCCGCCCGCGTCGGCCCCGCAGGACGGCAGAGGGGAGCGGGGGCAGCGAGAGAAAGCCCCGGCCTGCCTCCGGAAGAAACTTTCCTTCCGTTGGGTCCCCCAATCTGCCGCGGCGTCAGCCCCGGGGAGGCGCAGGCCGCTGCCCCCCATCCGCCCAGCGGACTCTGCTCCACCGAGAAGTGGCCGCGGGGTCCGCTGGGTGTCAGGCCGAGATAAGCCGTGTCGTGGTGAACGCCGCCGGGTAACCATCGCCCGACGGCAGTCTCTGCAAATGGCCCCTTGGCGAAGAAGGGAGTCGAGGCCTGCCAGGCCGAGACGCCGCTCTTTCCCAGCCCAAGAAGGGCGGCTTCGTTTTGAAGCGGGCGCCGCCGCCGGAAATAACTTGAAGCAGCTCGAAGCCCTCCCTCCCTCTTCGCAAGGCCCTTCGACGGCTGGGCAAGGGCGTCCCCGGGGAGGGGCGCTTCCTCCCCGCCCTTCTCCTCTCTCCCTCCAACTCTTGGGGAAACAGTGAAGTGCTTGCTTTACTGGGCCTCAATGTTTGGCTTTTCCTTCGGCAAGGCTGCGGCATTACCCCGCTCAGACCCCTTCCCGGTCGCTTCCGAAGTGATTTAAAAGGAGCAGCCAGAGCAGCAGCAAAAACGCCACCAAGAGCTTGAGCAGCAGCAGAGAAGCAGCCCGAGAAGGGAGCATTTCGGGGCCTGCACCAGCCCTTCCTGAACTGGAGAAACGGGACGGAAATGCTGAAACACTTAAACCAATCCGTACAAACGGGGCCACTTCAATTTCCAGTGTGTGACTCGGCGATTGAATTCCCCGAGTCTCCTTGGAAGAAGACCCGGCCATCCTCTGCGCCCGGGCTGCCCCCCACCCAGACGGCCTCACTCTGCCCAGGGCGTCCTTTCAACTTCAGCAAGCTTCCAAAAAGCCATGCTCCGAAACGGAACCTCGGCAACAGGGTGTTGTTTAATTGATCCGATTCCCTCCCCCCCAAAAATAAACGTGGATTAAATTTGGCCGGGGAAAGGCGAGATCACCAGCTAACCTTTGGAGGACAACCACCTGGTGTGGCCGCTGCAACAAACCCAAGCCCAACGTCCCTGCGTGGGGAGTGGGGGTCGCGCCACGGAATCCCCTTCCCCTCCCCGCGCCGCCGCGGCCCCTTTGACTCACCCAGGGACGCCTGCACCGCTTCGGAGGCCGAGAAGGCCAGCAGCGAGCCCTCCTTGGCCAGGAACGCCTTGCCGTCTTCGGCCTCGGCCTGCAGGCCGTCCGCCTTGTCGAAGGTGCCCTGGAGCGCCGGCGGGGCGAACTTCCTGGCCGCCTCCTGGTGCTGCGCCGAGGCGGAGAAGGTGCCCGGCAGCGTGGCCATGAGCGTGGACGTGAGCGCCATGCCCTGCGCCAGGCTGGAGCAGAAGCTGGCGGGCAGGCTGGGCATCTGCGCGTGGTGGTGCCCGTGCGAGGGCGGCAGCGCCGGCTGGGGCAGCGCGGCCGGGGGCGGCGGCGGGGGCGGCGGCAGCACCACGGGCCGGTAGGGCATGAACATGGGGTAGCCCGTGTAGACGAAGTGGCCCGGGCTGGGCTGCGGCGGACTGCCGATGAGCGAGTCTATGCTGAAGGCAGTGCTGCTTCCCAGAGGGCGCGGCATCATCATGAGCGACGGCGGAAAGGCTGCACTCATAGAGGCGCTGCGGGGCCGGCGGGCGCGTCAGGCGGGAAGCTGGACGGGGCGGCGGGGCGCCGGCGAGGGCGGGCGAGCAGAGCCGCGGCGGCGGCGGCGCAGGAGGCTGGGCGCGGGCTGTGCCTGGCCGGGGCCGGGTGGCATCGGGGCGCGGGGCCCTGCTCCAATCCGGCGCGCTGCTCGGGATCCGGCGGCCGGGCGGCGCTTCCTCGCTGGACTCGGCTTGGTGCGGGCGCGGCTGCCGGGCTACCGGACTGGCTCCCCCGCCTGGGTTCCTGGGCGAGCCCCGTGCCCCGATCTCCGTCTGGCGCGCTCCGTCGCTCCCTCCCGGGCGCCGGCAGAACCTTTGAATCGCGCTCTTCTTTCTCATTCACATTTTGCCAGCCTTGGACCCTTCCCGGCCCCACGTGGACGCCAGCGCCTCTCGCCATTGGCCGCGGAGATGCAAGGAGGAAAGCGCGCGCGGCGTGTGTGTGTGTGTGTGTGTGTGTGTGTGGCGCAGTGTGGGGAGAAGCAGCGAGAGACCGGCTGGTGGCCCCGCCCCTCCGCGCGCCCCCTCCCTCCTCCCGTCCACCAGAAGGGAGCCGCCAGGAGCGCGACGGTCCCGGAATCGGGGCGCGGAGGCTACCTCGGTGGGAAGCTCCCTGCCAGCCAGACGCGCGCGGTCCGGGGGCTTGGGCTGTGGCACCAGGACAAGGGGACTCCGCGTGCGTCTGCAGGGCTGCCAACCTTCCGGGTCACTTGGCCAGGACGGAGCTCTGCAGCAACTGAGGCTCGGTGGGGTTTGAGGGTTTGGGTGCTCTTTTTGGGGTTCCTTTTGCGTTTAGCCCCTTGAGTCCTGGCGGGGATGACCCCTCGAAGTTAGCTGCTGGTCGATGTCCTCAAAAACCCTCTTCACGTTTGGAAACCACGCAGTGATACACACCTTGTGGGAACAGGCTGGTCGGCTGCTTTCGCCTCTCCAGCTTAGGATCCCCAACTGATCTTCCTTAGCCCTCCTGCCCCTTTTCAACAGCAGCGCCTTTGGGGGGGGGTAGGTAAAAGAGGTGAAGGATCCGCGCGTGTAAAATGAGTCGTGTGAATGACCTTTAGGGAGCGAAGAAGTCGGGCGGCGCGTCAAGGAGCTAAGCAACCGCGAGCGGCCCCCACGACGGAGGGAGAGAGACCTTGAAGCAGAGACGAGCCATCGAAGCAGATCTCGTGCTTTTGCAGTGGAGATTTAACGACGGCAAATGGGCAGAAATCTCTTTTGGAGGCGCTAACAAGATAACGATCAGAGAGAAATGGGGCCCGTTAGGCGGGTAATAGGAATTTCTTTACATGCGTAGTTAATTGGAAAATAAAGACCGATCGATATTTATGAATGTATCGACCCAACCCTTTGTAGATCCAGCCCTTTCTTTATCCCCCTCCTCCTTTCCCCTTCAGTCTCTTGACTCCACAACATCGCTGGGGAGTAAATGGCTTCTCCCAGCTCAGGCCCTTGGCAAACTCAGTTGGCCCGCGAGACCAAGCTGGGCGAAGGCTCGCAAGTGGCCCTCCGGAGGCGCCTCGGACCCCAGCAGCCCCACCCCAAATACGCCTCTTTTCTCCAGCCGGTCACCATGGGGCCTAACCGGGCGCGGAAGGAGGACAAGAAAGAGGGCTAGCTGGGGGAGGGCGCAGCGAGGGGGGCCACCCGCTTCCCCTTGGGGCAGGCATCCCTAAACTCGTCCCTCCAGCTGTTTTGGGACTACAATTCCCATCATCCCTGACCACTGGTCCTGTTAGCTAGGGATGATGGGAGTTGTAGTCCCAAAACAGCTGGAGGGCCGAGTTTGTGGATGCCTGCCTTGGAGCACGAGTGGGACCCCTCCCAAGCCCCCTCCCAAGTCCCCGCTTTCGCAGTGGGATGAAAACCTCTCTCCACCCGGAGGTTCAGCGCGCCGGGGAAACGAGAAATGCATCTGGCGAGAGGCGCCTCGAGATGGGCGGGGGTTCTGCCCCCCTCCCTGCCTCGGACGGGGCGTCCTCGCTCCTTTTCTGGGCGGGCGGCGGGACTGCCAGACAGACATCTAGAGCCCCCCGCGCCCCGGTGGGGAGAGTCGGGTCGGGGCTTCTGTCATCCGATGTTTAACTGCTTAGAAAACGAGCGGAGCTGCGAGCTGCTTGTAAAACAGGGTCCCAGACGCGGTTAGCCGCGATTAACCAAAATCAATCGCAGGCTCCTTAAGAACTCTCTGCAGTGCGTTTAACGTCGGGCGACTGCAGCTCATAAAAGCGCCCTGCAGCCTCCCAAGCAGCCGCGACGGGAGGCGGGTGGCCCGGGCAGGACGGACCGTCTGGCAGTAGCAGCAGCAGCGCGGGCGAGTCGGCGGCTCTTTCCTGGCTCTTGAGACGACGGGCTCGCCGGCTTTGCGCTCGCAATGTGGAGCCTGCCACAAGCAGCAGCCGCCGCGTTTGGGCTCCAGGAGAGCAAACATTCCCCCCCGGCCCTGGACCCCGCGGGCCCCTCCTCGGCCCCCGGCAGGTGCAGCGGGCGATCTCCGCTCCTGCGACGGGGCGGCCGGGCGCGGCTCCGCTGGGCGGGGATGGGGGAGTAGATGGTCGAGACTGAATGGTGCCCTTCCCTGAGGGGAAGAGGGAGGTGGGGAGGGGGGGGCTCCTCTGGTATTATTAATTAGCCGTAATTTTCTGGCTCTTTCGAATGGACGGCTCCTTCCATCACCCAGGCAGCTTTTGGCTGCTGTCTCAGTGGTCCCGGCAAACTTTCCTTTGAGGAAAACCTGGGCGAGAAAAGCCGCCTTCCCCCATCCAAGTTTGTCTGAAAGTGACCAGGGTGGGTGTCACAAAGGGGTTGTTGTGGGGTTTTTTTTGTTTTTATTTTTATAAAAGACCTCCCCCCACATCAGATACACCAATTTGCAAGGAGCAAAAGGCACTGAACCTTCTTCTTTTCTTTTTTTTCCTAAAAAGGCAACTATTTTATTCACGCTTTTATAAATGGAGGATGGGGGGGGTGCAGAAAGAAAGAAAATTCCGAAATGCCCCCGATAGACTCCATGTGGGCCTTAAAGTGAAGGCAGCCCCTCCTTTGAAAGCGGCTCCTGCAATTATGTTCGCGAGTTATTCACTCGCCGGGCGGAATTAAAAGGGACGGAGCCTGCTCCCTTTTCACGGGCGGGCCTCTCATGTTTGGCTTTTCAAAGCCCTTCCAACACGATGTCTTTCTTGAGGACAAAAGGCAGGACAGGGCGGAGGGAAAAAAAAGGCTCCAAACTTGTAAATTGAACGTCAAGGGAACTTTTAAACAATTTAGAGCCCATAAATAATGATAAAGGAACCTGGCAAAAAGGCGAACCCATTCAATTAATGGAGATTCTCAAGCAAAGATCAAGTGGTTTATTAAAGCGAATAATAAAAAATAAGAAAGGGGAACTGACTTGCATTCTTCTAGCTTGGAACACTTCGCCTTTTTTAAAAAATGTGGACAGCCAGTGGCTTTTCCTAAAGACCCGGCGGCGGAGGAAGAGGGGGGCGGAATGAGCAAGGAAAATAAACTTTTTCACCGATTCTTTTTCTTTTCCGAGCTGAATAGAAGTGCCTCTCTGTTGTTGGAATGGCTCTTTTCCCTTTCCTTTCTTGTTTGCAAGTTGGAATTGGCCACTTGGCAATTCAGGAAGATCTCTTTTAAGGTGCTTTACTTAAATGCTCTGAGTTCCATATCTGCTTTTTGAACATTTGACGTTATAAAATAAGAATTTTAAGACCTCCAGGTCACGCTTTTTTTCAAAAGGAGGGAGAGAGAACACTGGCTCTTTAAGTGCGGGGATGTTTTAAAACTCGGTCTCCCCTCCCCCTTCGTCATTTATATTTGCTCATTTGGGATTCAGATTATGCGCAGGCTTTGCCTTTGACTCCTTGACAACAACCCCCCCCCTCTTAAATTTGAGTCTGGATTTTCTCTTGGCGTTTCACTAATGGCTGGGGTGGAGTTGTCGGATAACAGATTAGGGAGTGACCATTTCGAGTGGAGTAATGGATCACTCTGCCCGATTCGTCCCATGTTCCAGTGGCTCTTTCCCTCTTTATTGCCTTAAACATGACTTCTAATTCTAATATTTTTAGAAATTAATTCATAAAGCGATCCAAAGATTTTAAAAGGGGGGAAAAAATCTAGTATGTGTATATACGTTTTCGTTTGAAGACAGCCTGGCTCTTGCACCCACATTTACAGGACCGAGGATATAAAATTGCTGGTTTCCCTCCCCGACGTGTAACGAATCCATAGGAAGGGGGAGGAGCACTTTGCGCTTCAATCGAGAGCAACGTGCCCGGAAGAAAATCCCCCCGGGCTTCTCTCACGGTCGCCGGGAGCCCCCACCGCCACGCCAAAAAAACACCAACCCACGGCGGGTGCAACTTCTCGGAGCCGGCGAGCGAGTGGCGAGGCAGAAGGGATCGGGATCGAGAGAAAAGTCACTTCTTGGGGACGGCGCTGCGGAAAGAGGAAAACTGGGCGGGCGGGCGGAGGAAAAGGTGCCCTCGGGGCTCCCCGCCGAGTCGCCAGCTGCGCCCGCTTTCCGCGGCCCGCGCTTCTGATCAGGGACCGGGGCGCTGGCCTCCTCCGTGCCCGAGGAAGGCTGGAGGGCCGCCGGCGCCCGCAGAGCCGAGTCCCCGACGAGGGAACCACGCAACCCGGTCTCCACGAGCCCCGCGACTCGGAGCCGGGAGTCCCACGCGACCCTTGGCCCGCTCGGGGGCTCCGCTGCAGGAGACGGGCGCGCAGGCGAGGCGGCCTCCCTGGCCAGGTCCCTCGCGCCCACGCAAGAGAACAGTCAGCTCCCCGGCCATTCCGAGGGGGCGGGCGGGCGGGCGGGACGGGGCTTCTGCCGCCCGGCCTTATTTTAGTCGCCTCCCGCAGCCGGGCAGGCAGCCCGAGGTCAGGCAGCTGTTCAGAAATGCTCGCGACGGAGCCTTTCGGGGTGGGGGGAACAGAAGAAGCCGGGGCTCCGTCGAAGGGCCGCGCCCAGCAAAGCCCGCCAGCCCCGAGGGGCGCCGACTGCCCGGCTCCCCGGGAAGAAGCGTCTGCGCCGGCGGCG